CTTTATAGAATCAAAGTAGACATCAGAAACATCGTTCATCTTCGTTTACCAATTCTTCGTATTATCAGCTCAATTCCAACATTTTTTTAATCCACAGTCATGCTCTGTAATTTGTACCGCTCCTTGCATCTAGGAACGATAACAGAAATGTATCCTGAAAATTTATATTTCACCACGTATCAGTCTTTTAACCAAGCACCCCCTTCCTGCAATTTAGGTTTCAACCACAGCCACTACGTGGATCCCGAAGGAACCTCAACCAACTGACCATCCAGGACAAGTCCTGTGGGCAACTGGCCACCCGTAGTACCAGATTATGTGGTGCTCTAGTTAGACCTCTTTCCAATTTATGCAAGGACCAGGCCAGGCAGTAAATTGTCAACAACAATTTATAGTCCCATAAAACTACAGATATTGGTAGCACCTATCTACCCCCGGATTGCAATTGTGCTAAGGGACAATTTGAAACGGTTAAATTGCTAAAAGCACGCAATGCAAATTTATGGCTACGCAATGCAAAGGAGATCTTCCATTACATGAAGCTGTCACTTCAGGTCGACGTGAGTTAGTGTAATGGTTGCTGGAACAGATGCCCAAACAAGTCAATACCATTGATGGAAGTTCTATGCTACATATAGCAGCTTATAATAACTACACTGATATGTGTAAAATGTTGCAGGGTTATGGAACGGACGTAAAAGCTGTGTACCGCAATTCCAAGGGTATTGCTATAACTTCTTTAGATTGTTCCTTGCAGAAAGGCCATCATTGAAAACCCTGAAAAAGCCAAAAAGCTGAATTTTAACAAAATATTCTGATTATTCGCTGAATAACTGATTTAAATTTTTTCATTGACAACTGATTTTTGACTGAAACTCCGACCAAAAAACTTACTTTCCACTAAAAATACATATTTTTAATGAAAAACTATTTTTCAACTAAAAAACTAATGATTTCTGACTGCAAACTGATTTATCAATGAAAAACGGATATTTTTAATGAGAAACTGATTTCTCAATGATAAATGTTCCTTCAGTGAATTGAGTTTTCATTGAAAAACAGATTCCTCACTTTTTACCTCATTAGACTTGTTTCTCAAAATAATCCTTAAAATATTAAAATCTGCCTTAGTCAGACTTCATCTATTTATTAAGAATATTTCTCAAACATAATTAAATCCATAAAATTTCTTATATGCACCACATTATTGATGAGCTACTCAAAAATAATAGCACTAAAATCATCTACATGTCCTAACCACAAACTAAACCGCAAACATGGAATACTTTAAGCCCAAGCGTCACCATAAACTCCCACATATTTTCAAAAACAAAAAAAAACAGTCTACTTAATTAAGGATATGCAACGTTTATTAGATACTAAACTAGATAATTTTTATCATTTTCATTTACCCTCAAAAGTTTCCATATCGTTTTCATAAAATTTATGAACCTAAAAAACCAAAGGAAAATCTCATAAATGCCATTTTCATTGCTGTTAATCACATTAAAATGTCTTTAAACTTAACATCCTTCCATACACACACACACACACACACATAAAGAGACATAAAAAACCTAACTACCCTGCCAGCAATTTTGTAGTCGACTACGAGAAAAATTCACTTCTAGTTTACTTTTACAGACTGACTATAAGCCAACTACAATGTAATGCAGAGCTGTCCCGAAATTTTGTATTTGGCAACGTAAAGAACCGACTTTTAAATACTAACTACAAGCTAACTATAATGTAATGCAGAAGTGCCTCAAAATTATCTGGAGAGAATTAAATGTATTTCAACATGTTTTCTCTTGTTTCTCTATTATTATGATTTTATTTGTTGACTTTAGTAGACTGACTATAAACGAACAACAATGTAATGCAGAAATGTTCCAAAATTTGGTATTTATTAACGTAAACAACCGACTTTTAAAGACTAGCTACAAGCTAACTATCATATAATGCGGGAGTACCCCAAAATTATCTGGAGAGCATTTTGTTTCGACATGTTTTCTCATGTTTCTTTATTATTTGGAATTTGTTTTACATTTTTGTCATTTTCTTCTATACGTTGTGAAATTTGAGTCAGTAAATTGGAAAAATTAATCATAAAAGGTTAAATATTTTAAAACTCGGTCCCTAAATTCTAAATTCTGCTGATTAATACTGTAAATATAATACTTTAACAGTTAACATTACACAAAACATTTTCAAATTTATTTTAGATTTGGATCAATGGGAATCATGGAAATAATGAACAAATCATTCATAATTTTATGGGTACCGGTGTTATTAGTAGTTCCCCTGCAGAAAACTGATGTCTATTAATTTTAACGAACTAATATCATAACTTGTATTAAACCGAAATGTAATTTAGATAACTAGTAGTTAAATTTTAAATATATTTAATTAAAATATAATTAATTAATACAGTAGGGAATTCAAAAGAAAACTATTGCTTGACTTTTCTGCAACTAACTTTAAGTTAGTTAATAAAGAGTTACCTTTAAGCTAATTTTTTAGTAACTAACTTTAGGCGAGTTGAAAAGTCATGCAGAGTCGGACAATTGACTACTGCGTATGACATCACCATGTTAAAATAGTCAGTTGGCTCCATTAAAAATAATCCAAGAATCAACCATAACTAGTTGATGAAAAAGTCGGCTTTTAATGCATTTAAAGTTAGTTGAGTTGCTGGCAGGGTAGCAATAACACCACTAACACTGCACTACTACTGTCAGAGGCACTTAGGAGTCATACAAAGACACAAGTCTACTAACCAAACATCTATGTAAATGTAGAAGTTTAGTGTACTAGTTGTTAGGAGGAGTATAGTAGAGTAATTTAAGTTCCTAAACCTTATAGACTTTTCACTGCTACTTTTTGCTATTTTTAATTTTCTAAGATTGTTCATCTTTTAGATGATTCTTCTCTCTCTCTGGTTTCTCTTACTGACTCGCTTGTTGTCAAATTACATACAAAAGTTACCGTCATAAATGAAAAATGACTGGCCCGCTATTAAATTTCAACTAAATTAACTTTGATGCAGACAGTCTTTTGGCTTTCCTTATCCTTCAGAGACTTTTAAGTGTATGTATGTAAGTTTGTGTGCGTGTGTCAATTTGTCTGTGTATGTGCATTAATATGGAAATAAACATTTGGCCAAGTGATTTCTTTTCTTTCTTTTTTTTCTATTCGTTTGCTTTAAGTTTGGTCTGTTGGCCATTTAAATTCCATCAAGAGTAAATAAATCTTGTGGATATTAGGAAAAAAGTTAAAATAAATATAAAAGCAAATTTAACGGAGATTAGCTTAAGTGTTTTGTGTATGTGTGTGAGGCAGTATATTCTTACATAATGCTCCAAACAGAAGAGGATGTTTGTATATGTAAAATTAAAGCCTACTAACAGGCGTCATATGCAAAGTGGGTATAGGAAATGTTAAAGGGACTGGCCAATGTAGCTGGAATGAGAAATTTTTATTAAACTTTAGCTTTCTATTTTATTAATTGATCAAATGGAGTTTCAAGATATGCATTTAAGGGACTATTGATGTGGTCCTTTTTTTGAAATCATAGACCGGATTCAATGATAATCTACTGCAGAGGGCATCAGAGATACAAGCCGAGACGGCTCAAATCGGCGGCGGCTGGCCGCCGGTAATATTTTGCAAGCTGCGCCGCCGCCGACTTCTTTCGGCTCAAAAGCTAAGCCGGCTTAAACGTAGCCGCTGATAAAGATTAGAATCGCACATGTATTTCAGAACATAATTTCACCAATTTGAACGGAGTTGCCACTATTTTAAATTCTTATGGCAAATTGAAAAGAGTTGCCACACAATATTGTGCTAATATTAAAATAGTGAAAACTACTATAAATGTCCATTTTCTGCAGAAAAAAACTTGTATAGAGACAGGTTTCTATGTAACAGACTATTGTACAAAGATTTTTCAATATAATAAACCTTATAAGGTCAATTTCTAAAGAAAAAGTTAAATTGAGCCGACAATTTAGCCGCCGCCGATATTTTCTGTAATAAGCCGCCGCCGCCGACCCAAAATGGTTGCGCCGCCGCCGCCCACTGGGCATACTTTACATACACAGACGCAATGACGGATAAACATTATAAAATCGGCTGAGAAAGTGATAGTTATTTAACCTACTTAACGATTATTTTCCACTTTAAGTGAATCAGTTTGTTGAAATCCCAATCATTGATCTTTAACCTTGTAGCGAATGATTGCTTGATTAGAAAAATTGAATTATTCAAATTTAGACACTGCTCCACAGAAATCAATCTCCATCAAGTTCTTCCTAAATTCCTCAACAATGTCCTCTTCAAACTGGCCACCTCCTTAGACTCTAACAATATATAAGTAATATCTTATTATGGCTACTTTAATATCAGTTAAATATACTTACCAACAAACTGACTGACAGATATAAATACTATAAGATACCAGCCATGTCTTACGGCCAAACACTAAACTGTTACTTAATAGAATATAATAGTAAAAACAAAATGTGGGAATCAACCGACCACCTGTAAGATTAATCTTCGCCATCACATTCATTTGCATTCTCTAAGAAGTGTGGGTCTATTTGGTGTTATATTTTAATGCAAAGACGAATATTTAACTTTTAAATTTAGACATAGACAACTGGGAGATATAAAAATTTTAAATAAAACTTGATAAAGTATTCACAAAAAAAAAAAATCATTTTTTTCGACTGCAACCACCAAAAACATAAAATAAATAATTTTAAAGCTTAAAAACTCATAACGCAGAGTAATAAACAAAGATAATAAAAATCAAAAATAAAATAATAAAAATTAAAGATATAAAGAGGACAGGGCCATCAGTAAAAACTTTGTTATGAAAATGTTATTAAATTCTTAAAGATAGTGCAACTTTAAGCAATTCCTTAATGTCTTCTATATGGGTTTTACTTAAATCTCTTTACAAACACCTTTCTTTAAAAATAGTTCTTTTCACTTACCTTCTTATATTGCGTTGTATAGATCTCGTTACTGCCGACATATCACAAGCTCCCTTATCGCCCAGCTTACGATTCTCAAGACGGCTGCTGCACGAACGTCCATCTAAGGTTGTGTACAAGGGACGGCGTGGTATATGGGCAGTGTATACGTTACGTGGTGTTGGTATTTTACTTTTCATGGTGCGTGGACTTGGTTCAAAACCTGAGTCTTGATCTCTGGTATTTTGCTGCATTTCTCCAACCTCACCCTCGGCACGTTTCCAATTACTGCCGCCCCGAGTTTTAACACCACTTTTCACACGTTTCTTTAAACGTCGTTTACGTCCAGTGCTATAGTCATAAGGACTTGCGGCAGCATCCTCGATTCTATAGTTACGTTCCTGCTCTACATCCTCATCTAGCTCTTGACTAGCTCTACCCATTAAAGCCTCCGATTTGCTGGAGTCGACTTCATAGAGTGGTGAGGTTAATGGTTCTGTGAGTACTTTAAAAACTGTGTTATCACTTAAATCATGGTCTTCGCGTGGTGAGGGAGACTCCTCTACTTCTAACACAGATTCATCACTTTTAAGCACTTGAAAACTGGATTTGCGCTCCGGTTCTTCGGATTCCATTTCCATTTCATCTTCAGCCGAGTCTGAAGGTAAGAGAGTAAATGAACGTCTTGATTCTTGTTCACGCTCGGCTTGTGGTGTGCTACTTTTAGTTGCTATATTCTCGGAACGATTTTCAGAAGACTTGGCAGCAGCATTGATGTTCTCTTGACTTATACTAGCTCTCTTTTCGGCTTTGGGTTTAGCTTCGTCTGTTGGTTTTTTATCTTCGTTTGGTTTTGTTTCAACTGAGGTAGCTGTTGTTGCTGGAGGCGGTGTAGTTGTTTTGGAAGTTATTTCTGTGGATTTGTTTTCATTAGCTAGAGCTGCTTCGGTCTTTTCAGTTACCGTCTTGGTTTCTCTATCATCTTCGGAAGATTTTGGAAGTGTTTCGGCTTTAGTTTCTTGTTTAGTATCATCTACTTTTGTTTCCTGCTTTGGTTCATTGGTTATTTGGGCTTCGCTATCTTTTGTTTCCTCGAGTTTTTGTTTTACTTCTATTACCGTTTCCATGCTGTCCTTTATATCAAGAGAATCACCCTCTTCTTCCTTTAACTCCTTTCCTTCCTCTTCCAATTCGTTCTTTTCATTTTGTGCTTCTGTTACATCCTCCTTTCTTGGTTCTGCTTCTTTATTGGCTGAAGAGCTTGTTGTCTCTAAGGATTTGGTTTGTTCTTTGGAAAGTTGTTCTTCTTTTACATCTTCTTCCTTTTTGGTTTCTTCGCCTTGAATTTGTTCTTGTTTTTCAACTTCTGTTTTATCTTCTTGTTCTTTTGACTCCATATCATCTGCAGCACGATGAACTTGCACTTCCGCCTGTATATTTTCCATTGTCACTTGCGTTTGTTCTTCTTCATCCGTCAATTCCACTGCGGCACTTCCTATTGGCGCCTCCAAACTTGTACTTTCTTTACTAGTTTGTGGTGTCTCTGGTGGAGTTTTTATAAAAGTACCTTCTTTAGCTGTTTGGGGAGTGGATGGTATAGCATCTTTGTCGGTTAAAGCCTCTTGACTTTTTGTTGTGGAATTTGGCCTTGATTTGGCGGCATCAACTACATCAGGTACATTTGCTTTATTTTCTACATCCTTATCCGCTTCCTTTTTGTCCTCCTTTTCTTGGGAACTTGGTTTTGAGGAACTTTTTTCTTCTTCTTTGTCTTCTGATTTATCCTTATCCTCGGGATCTTGAGAGTTACGTGATTTTTTGGAAGGTGTTGATCTTTTTCGTTGTATAACCCTTTGCTTTCTACGTTTGTGATAGCAACAATTCTCACAAGAATCTTCTTCATCATCTTCGGCCTCCCATTCACTAGAACTGGAGTATCTCTCCCGGGATTTGCGGCGTCTTATTTCTATGTTGCTTTTAGAGCGACAAATATTACTACAATCATCATTGAACTCCAAGGAATCACCACAACTGCTAGTACGCCTTCTCAAATGATGACGTTTATGTCGTTGATGACGTCGACACGTATGGGCATAACGCTGCTCTCTTCGATACGTTTGCTCAGTGCAGCTGCAATTGGCTTCTTCACCTGCTTCCGAATCGGAACGTTTCAAATACACTACATACTTTTTGGAATTTGTCAAATCATGAATTTCCTCTTTTTCGGCATATTTCAAGGGTTTTATAACTTCAACGGAAGTATTAGTAAAAGGGTTAGAACGTCGGGCAGCCAAGCGCAACTTGCCCGCTGGTAAACCTCCATGAGACTGTAGAAATTTAGCAGTCGAACGATGACCTTTCTGCAAGGAACAATCTAAAGGAGTTATAACAACACCCTTGGAATTGCGGTACACAGCATTAACGTCCGCTCCATAATCCAGCAACATTTTACACATATCTGTATAGTCATTATGAGCTGCTATATGCAGCATAGAGCGACCATCATTGCTGGTGGTATTGACTTGCTTGGGCCTCTGCTCCAGCAACCATTCCACTAACTCACGTCGACCCGAAGTGGCAGCTTCATGTAATGGAAGATCTCCTTTGGCATTGCGTAGCCATAAATTTGCATTGCGTTCTTTTAGCAATTTAACCGTTTCAAATTGTCCCTTAGCACAACCACAATGGGCAGGTGTGCGTCCCTTACGATCCTGGCGATTGGGATCAGCCTCAAAATCTAATAAACGTGAGGTGGCGTCGGCATGACCCAACGTAACAGCATAGTGTAAAGCTGTACAGCCATTGGTATCGATTAGATCAGTGGGAGCTCCACATAAACTTATTAAGGTGTCTATGCATTCGGTATGTCCCCGAGAGGCAGCACAATGCAAAGCCGTCAAACCATCCCTGAAAATGTGAAAAGAAATATTAAATCTTATAGAGTTGTATGGATATTAATAGGCAACCAACTTGTCTGCACTTTCTACTCTAGCACCAGCCTTTACCAAAGCTATTACAGCCTTAGCGGAACCTGCTGAAGCTGCCCACAATAAAGGCTGGCGACCATCTTTATCCTGAACATCTACACTACATTGAGGATGAGCTAGCAAAATGCCCAAAATCTCTAAAGCCAATTTGGAGGAATTTGTTTGACTCAATTTGCCCTCATAACTGGCACCACACATTTGGGCGGCATAATGCAAAGGCGAGCCACCATTAATATCGGGCGTGGTAACATTAGCTCCAGCCGCCAGAACTGATCTTAAGGCACCCACCTCACCACAAACTATAATTACACAGAAAATTCTCAATATTAATAATCATTTAGCTTACAACATCATACTCACCTGTGGCCCAGTGTACCACCGAATGACCTTCTTTATCCACCGCATTCACATCGGCTTTGTTCGCTAGCAGCAAATTGACCATTGCCAAGTTGCCCTGAATAACAGCCAAGTGTAGCGGTGTGAAGCCATCTTCGTCAGCAGACTCCAGTAATTCTGGAGCTGCGACGGCAATACTAGCAGCAGCCACGAGGTCTCCGGAATGGGCCGCGCAATAATGCAAAGCGTTCTTGTAATGACTGTCACGTAAACGTATGCGTTCAGGCTGTAATAAAGAAGAATATCTATTAATGAGGTAATTAATATACATATGTATGTATGTATGTATGTTTATAATAAAATGTGATACATATTAATATTTGCATGTGTAGTAATTAAAAAATATTATTTGTATTATTTTCTCTTAATTATAATAATTAGCAGAAATATTATTTTTAATCAAATTAACTAAATATAAATTCAATATGCATTAAATATACTAATAATTATAATACATATTTAATAATAATCTTACAATTATATACAATTAATTAATTACATATATTAAAATATACGTTTATTATACCGGCTCATTAACAAATATAGAGATTCTGAGAAAAAGTTTATTTTAAATCAGATCATCAGATTGCTTGCAAATTTCCCAGTAGATCTGTACAAGTAAATTTTATTTTTATCCAAATTGGGGATTTTAAAATTTCCCAGAATGCAGTCAATTAACCTTTTAGTTTGATAATGCCTTCATTGCCTTTGGGCCAGCTAGTTTTACACAATCGGAGATAGCATAGACGGTTTGCTTGGACTTTATAGACTGCTAATCGGTTGTACCGATTTTCCTGATATTTTCGAAGTGTCTTCCCGTATGTCTGGAAGGAACCATAGGCTACTATGGATTTCAAAAATTTAAATATGCGAAGAAGTACGTCCACATACCAAATAAATACTAGTGTCTTCAAATTTTCCACGGACAATTTTGGGGATAAAATGGTCGGCCTAGATACAGCGGGCATGGCACTTCCCATATAAGAAAAATTTGAATTCAGAATATCTGAGAAAATAAACAATAATATCAATGTGAATATTTAAGGAAACAAGTAAAAGTGTTATGTTCGGCTGTGCCGAATCTTATATACCCACCATCAAATCATTGATGAAAAGGAATGCTTTTTTATAATTAAACTTTAATATTTAAGAGGTGAGTGATAGCATAGCTAAACTACCTATTACTAAGAAAAGACTTTCTGGAGCACAGAGGAGGAAGTTGAAAAAGATGCTTCAGGAAATCATAGTTAGTCAATCCCACGACACTCCAAAGGAATCGGACTCTCTCACAAGATCTGAGGCAAAAAGGATCAGGTCACCCGAGGAGTTGACAACTGAGAATAAGCCTAAGAAGAAAAAGAGCTCCCCGTCTTCTAATACACAGTCGAAGCCAAGCCATACTTCACTCAAAGGAATCTCAAGTGAGAATCCTGCGAGTAAGGGTGACAACGCCAAGCCAGATATTCCGAAGACGAACACGTCGGCGAAATCAACCTCGAAGGTAAGGGAATCTCAAAAGAAGCCCCGAAAAACGAGGAAGGAGAAGCTAGACGGAGGAAAAGGTAAAGAGCCGCCATCTTACGCCAAAGTTGCCAGAAGTAGGCACCGGGACGATCTCTGCTATGCAGTTTACGATGCCGGTAATCCGACAGGCAAAATTCCAATAGACCAACAGAGTAAAATAGAAGACCTGGTCAACAATAAGATAGTGGACCATGCAATAGCTTCAAAGGGCAAACAACCAATAGAGAGCGAGAGCTGCGAGTTCAGCATGGGCGTGATGTTGATGAGGTTGGCATCTCACCAATGTGTTAGCACCCTAAAGAACTTGGTGGAAAGTATCCCTCCTCCCTGGGACGGCGCTAGGCTGGGACTGGCAAAGAAGAGCGAGCTTCCGGTGCTCCTAAAGTCCACTGTCTACATAAAAGGATGGGGCAGTAAACTGGCTAATGAACGTATACTGGAAATTCTTGGAGGTCAAAATGCTGAGCTGGCCGTGGAAAAATGGGATGTCTTTTACAGGAAAGAAGAAACTGAGGGAACTTTATTTGTAATAGGTATCGACCAGAAATCCATGGCTAGTCTTGCCAAGAATAAAGGTAGGGCTTACTTCGCCTCTAAATCTGTCATATTCAAAATTGGGAAGGTGCCGATTGGAAGGGCTGTTACAACAAGCCTCGAAAAGGACACTAAAAAACCTAAGACCACAGTATCCACTACTGATAACGTTGAGGAGTCAAATCCTAAAATCGAGGAATTTACCATTAACTCGCCAGAAGAAAGTGTAGTTGCCCTTTCCAAAATTGGGAAGGCGCCGATTGAAAGGGCTGTCAAAACCGGCCCCGACAAGGACACTAAAACACCTAAGACAGTACCCAAAGCATCATTAGCAAGTACTAGCAATGTTGAGGAGTCAAATCCTAAAAGCGAGGAGGAAATCACTCACCCGCCAGAAGACAGAACAGCAATGCTCTCCAGAATTGGGAATGTGTCTATTAAAAATACTGCTATTCCTATGCCTGATAAGGACACCGCAGTGCCATCAACAGTACTCACTGCATTAATAGCCACTTCAGGCTATCCGGAGGAGTCAAATCCAAAGAGCGAGGAGGTGACCACCAACTCGCTGGAAGACAGTTTAATGGATGACCATGATTGAGGTTATCCAAATAAACCTCCATCGGAGCGAGACAGCTACCAACGCTCTGATGGCTAAAATCAACACAGGTAAAATACATATAGCTTTAATCCAGGAACCTTGGACGATTCGCAACAAGGTTTCTGGATTAAATCACGTAAATTTCCAACTTTTCTACGCTGATACAGGATCTCGCCCGAGAACATGTATCTTATGTCACAAGAACTTATGTTTTCTCCTCTCAACAGGATTATCAACATCGGATGCAACGGTGCTGAAGCAAGGTCGAGGCAACATATACCTTGCATCTATTTACCTGCCTTTCGATTCTCCGACCCTACCACCAACGTCGGATCTGATGAAACTGGTTGAAGAGGCACAAAGGAAAAATAAGAAAATTGTAATAGGTTGTGATGCCAACTCGCATCATGTAGCTTGGGGTAGTACAAACACCAATCGCAGGGGACAAGCCCTCATGGATTTCTTTAATACTAAAGACTTGATAACATTGAACTTAGGTAATAAAGCTACCTTCGTCAATAGAATCAGAGAAGAAGTATTAGATATAACTATATGTTCAGAAGAGCTTATAAACGAAATTCAGGATTGGAGAGTTTCGGACGAGCACTCCTTTTCTGATCATCGGTACATAAGATTCAAAATACTAAGGCCACCACCAAAGCCGATAAAGTTTCGGAATAAGTCTAAAACTAATTGGACAATGTTCGGGGCCTTACTAAAGAACCGTTTAGGTCAGGACACTTTTCAATGTCGAAATAAAGAGGATATAGATGCCAAAGTGGAAACGTTCACAAGTGCCCTGGTTGAATCGTTCGAGGACAGCTGCCCTCTGCGAGAGCGGAGATCTGCCCAGGAAAAACCCTGGGTAACTGGGGAGATCCGGAACCTTGGGAAGACTCTTCGCAAACTATTTAACCGGGCACGGCGTAAAAAGACCGCAGTATACTGGGATGAGTATCGTAATAAACTTGGTGAATATAAGAAAATCGTTCGAAGAGCCAAACGAGACTCCTGGAAACTTTTCTGTGAACAGGTAGATAGCGTAAATGAGGTATCGAAGATAAAAAAATTCCTATCCAAAACTCATGTCCAACCGGAATCTATGATCGATGACACGGGCAGGAGGCTTGAGGATATGGAGGAGACAATGAAACTCCTAATGGATTCTCATTTCCCACCCGGTATATCGAATAACATAGATGAACCGATATTGGAGGAAGGGGAGGGTAACACGGAAATAGTTATTACAACTGACATGGTTAAAGGGGCAATCAAGAGCTTTGCTCCCTATAAAGCTGCAGGGCCGGATGGAATTTTCCCGGCACTTTTGCAGATGGAGGCGGGACTGGTTTCCGTACATCTGTCACAGATATTCACTGCATGCTTAAAATTGGCATATACCCCAGTTAAATGGCAGGATGCAAGGGTAATATTTATACCCAAACCAGGGAAACCTAGCTATGCGACACCTAAGTCCTATCGACCGATAAGCCTTACGTCCTTCCTACTTAAAACCTTGGAACGGATAGTCGATAGCATGGTTAAAAGCAGCATACCATACAATGACCTTAAATATAAGCAGCATGCTTATGTAAAGGGACGATCGGTGGAGACCGCTTTAAATGAAGTTGTCCACTACATAAGTGAATCTTTCGATAGCAAACTGTATACACTGGCAGTATGCATTGACATCGAAGGCGCTTTCAATAACGTGCACACTGATACCCTTATCCAATCCCTAGACCAGTTTTATGTTGACCGGGTGCTCCGTAACTGGATCAACTACATGCTAAGGAACAGATGGATAAGCTGCGAGATGTACGATATAACTATCAGGAAAAAGGTATTTCGCGGTATACCACAGGGTGGCATTTTGTCACCTTTACTCTGGGTCACCACGATTAATAGCCTCCTAAGGACCCTAACCGAGAAAGGACTTAGACCTGTCTGCTATGCAGACGATGTCGTAATACTTTTAAAGGGAAAGGATCCAAATTACTTGTGTAGAAGAGCTGAGGAGGCTCTGAATACGGCCTTGAGCTGGGCTCAACCGAGAGGCCTCAATGTTAACCCGGCGAAGACGGAAATCTGTCTTTTCACAAGAAAGACAAAAATTTCTACATATACTGAACCTTGCTTCTTGGACAAGAAGATACCGGTGACAGACAAAGTTAAGTACTTAGGTGTAATACTTGACCGGAAATTAAAATGGAGACACCACATAGAGGATAGGATCAACAAGGCACATCGGTGCTGGGCGATATGTAGGAGAACCATAGGCATGAAATGGGGTCTTAGTCCTACTATGACAAATTGGCTTTATAAAAGTGTAATTAGACCAATTCTAGCTTATGCTTCAATAATCTGGTGGACTGCTTTGGACAAAAAGTGTAATATCAAACTACTACAGGGAGTTCAGCGTACATGCTGCTTGGGTATAAGTGGTGCCATGTGTACTACTTCAACCAAGGCTCTGGAAACGTTGCTAGATATTCCACCCATTGAAACATATATAAGATATGAGGCGGCGCTTACAGCCGAACGGCTCTTTACTTTAGGCGAACTGGCCAAAAACGGTTATAGGAC